GGTTCAATCCTCAGCACCACATAAAAATAAATAAAATAAAGGTATTGTGTCCATCAACAATTAAAAAATAAATAAATAAGAAACAAAAACAAAAAACCCAGACAGTCTCTTCATTAAAGAACCATAGGGTGGGCCTAAGGCACATTGCCCTTTAAAGACCCACTCCCACTTCAAAAAAAAAAAAAAAAAAAAAAACCCAAACAGAAGCCCAAGAAATTCAATGCAAAAAAAGATTCCCAGAATGTTACTAACTTGAGGTCACTACAAGTAGAAAATTCTAAGAAAAGTCTTTCTAGAGGGTAAGACATACTATCAATACTTCAATCTTCTCAATATCCAAGAACCTGAAATAAAAGAAGCTGGGAAAAACTGAAGGAAATGCACATGCAAGAAATAAAGTTTGTAAAATTGGGGGTTAGGTGGGGGCCAGTCTCCTCCAGTCTCTGAGCCTCATGGTCAGTTTTGTTCACACAGCTCAGTAACTGGAATTTCTCCCTAGCCCATAAACATTTAGAGATGCCAAATGCTTAGGATCACTTTTAAAGATTCCACATATTTGTAAGCCCCTCCAGACACCAGCAGCCTCCTCTTCCTGTAACAGGGGTTCACTTGATGCTTAGACTATATCCCTTGTGGCTTTGAAGCTTATATGTTTGTTTGTTTGTTTTACTTTTTCCCAATCTTCTTCTCCCTAAACTTCTTCCTGGTATCTCCTCCCTAATCTCATTTTCTCTGAATCACCTCTATAAAAGCCCCCCTGTTCCTACTAATGGGCAGAATCAAAGCCTTTGAGACAGAGTCCCCTATGTTTCTCCTTTCCTAGCAAAGCAATAAACCTTCTTTTTCCTTTTTCTCAAGACCTTGTTTTCATTATGGGATTGGTGTGAGGGCGAGGACCAAGCTTTTGGTTACACTCCCTGTTCCTTGCCCACTGTCTCTACTGCACCAAAGGGCAATGACAAGCTCATCTGCATCCAACCCAAGGATTACATGAGGAATCTGGGGAACAGATATGCATACCCCAAGATCAAAATCAAATATCCCAAGGAAACAGGTCTATTATGTACTCATCAATGACACCTATCTCCTACTATCATGGCCAAGTTGTAAGCCAACTGTATCCCTCTGTTCATTAAAACTAAGACCCTGCCCTGCTTTGTAGCCAGGAAGACCACATTACACTTCTTCAAGACCAAGAGAAAAAATGGAGATGATGCTCCCTCTCCACTCCCACTCCTGGTTTATCTACTGCCCAAGCAGGTCAGTGTTCCAAGAAGTTCAAGAATGGAGATCCTGTTAGAAAACTTCTGGAGAGACAAGAAGAGGCACTGAACTAAAGACCACTTTGGGAGGGATGTTGGAAGTTCTTGGACACTAAGTCAGACCACTAGAGATGGCCTGGTTCACCCCTTTCCCCCACTCCAAGGAGGCTAAATGAAAAAACAGTTCATACCTAGGGGCAGAGGCAGCTGCTGTGCTCACCATCCTGTCTTTTTATTTCCCAGCCATTAAACTCACATAAAGAAGGTGGTTGCAGAAACTGAAGAACTGTCACTGGTGCACTGCGAACTCCTCTTAAGACTGGAAATAATCACTGAGAAAGCACCAAGCATCTGGAAGGAGGCTGAAGCACCTGGTGTATAGTAGCTCATTTAATCCTCACAACCCTGTGAGACTGGCAGATTAAGGAGCTGAAGCAGAGAGACTAGGGACATTCTCTAAACCCACACAGCTGCTTAGAAGTGGGGCCAGTACCTGAACTCAGGAAGCTGACTCCAGGGCCTGTACTCAACATTCTACCATTCTGCCTCTCTTATATGCACTCTACCACAAAGCCTGGAATTCAATCCTATTGAACAAATCCCAATCTTTATACATGTATGAGGCAGCACACTTCATGATGGCTCATGAATACAAAATGGTCAAGCATGACCAGGAATCTACCTCAGTAAGTGGGAGCACAGCAGAAGATTCCACAGCTCAGCTGACTCATTACCATCTAGGCCTCCCACCATCTCCATGGCTGTTCCTACCTGAGCTGCCCTTTTGTATGAAAATGAACAGTGTGTCAGGCAAGGGAAAGAACACAATGTAACTAAACCTAGGTCCCAACACCTCTAAACTGCTGATGTCCTAAAGCCCTTCATTAATATCATCTTGGGTTAACAACCTTAGAGATCAATCTTCAAACTAAACAACTATTTACTATTCAAAGATGATAAAAATAAGGAATATGGACTCTTGACAGCAGGAAAAGAAGAAAAATCTTGGGACTTTCGAAGGGGAGAAAGAAACAGTAGAAACAGAAAAACCATTTCACCTTCTCTGCAGTATTGCTTAGAGCTGGGTGTGGCTGCCTCAGTGTATCTCTACTTCCTTAACACCCTGAGAGCAGAGGACAGGAAAGAGACCAAGGGAGTTAAGGATGAATTATACAGGAGACCTCCAGAAAAGAAGGAAAGAGAATCTTCAGAACTACCTTGTGGAGCTCTTAAAGTAGTGCTGAGTGCACAGAGAGGACTAGACACCAAAGCTGCCTTGAGCACATCCCTCCAGGGGAAAAGGAATTAGCTGGCATTTCCCTAAAAAGAAACTGTAACCAGGCCTGCAAGGAACCAAGAAAAAAAACAGGTATTTCCTCTTTATACACATGCTGTTAACTCCCATCTTCTTCCAATGGATGTTAAAATAGTTTATATTTGACAATTTAATTAACCACAGTAGAGACCAAATGATTTTTAGCCAGGCACAGTAGTGCAGGCCTGTAATCCCAGCAGCTCAGGGGGCTGAGACAGGAGGATCAAGAGTTCAAAAACAGCTTTAGCAAAAGCGAGGTGTTACGAAACTCAGTGAGACCTTATCTCTAAATAAAATACAAAACAGGGCTGGGGATGTGGATCAGTGGTTAAGTGCTCCTGAGTACAATCCCCCTTGAAAAAAAGACTTCTAAAGTGCTTGTCTTCAGAAACTATGAAGCTATTAGTCAGGCACAGTGGTGCACACCTGTAATCCTGTTATCCTAGCTACTTGGGATGCTGAGGCAAGAGGATAGCAAGTTTGAGGCTAGCCTCAACAAAACAGATGATGTCTCAAAAAAAGGGGTGTAGGGCTAGGGATGGGCTCAGAGATAGAGCACCTCCAGATTCAATCCCCAACACCCACTGCCCCCCCCACACACCAAATAATTAAAAAATAAATTTAAAAAAAAACAAAGTATGAAGCTCTTAATTCATAAAACAAATTAAATTCAAACCCTTATAGAGGGTTATCTCCATTATGCATCCATACAGGCTAAGTCTTAAATGTCCCTACCCTGGGGACCACAGAGCTGAATCAAACCAGCATGGGCATTTTTCCCTGAATTTACAGGTTGCTACATATAGTGTTACCTGAAGGCTACACTGTAGTCAGGTAAAATTTACTCACTCCAGTCCTTAGATGGGTCTCATTTCTAGTCTGATAAAGGCAGATGGGGAGGAGAAAGGGAAGAAATGTCAGGGTGAGGGTTGAGGAGTAGGCTAGGAGGAAATGAGATAAATGGAAGGCAATGAGATAACTATGATCACATTTGTTAAACTCAAAGTCAAGATTACTCTAGTAACTGCTACAGGACTTATAAGAACAAGATATCCACCAATGAAGGTCTGACTTTCTGGTGAGACTGGATGCCTCCTCCATCTAAGTAACCAGTCCTGGCATCTTTCCCTAGCCCAGGACAATCTCCCTCTTTACCTGAGATAAACATCACACAGGTTAACAGAGGCAGACAAATCCTCCAGTACAGTGTGATTCATCAATCCAGAAACCATTCTGCTATTTCATTATTCACAAAGTAACTTCTTCTATTAAAATAGATGCATCCTGGAAAGGCAAAGCCTTTGGAGTTTGGCAGATGAAATCTCAGCTCCACTATTCTCTCGCTAATAAGTGTAAACATCTAGCAGTACCTGGCTCCAGGATCTAACTTCCTAAGTGTTCATTTCTACTCAGTATTTATAACTGACCTCAAATTCACCTCTTGTAAAATAATTTTAAAAATCTGTTTTGTCCAGAGGGAGAACAAGATGTCTAACCTCTTGAGATTAGTCTAACCTCTTATTTACACAGTCTCTCCAATACTAGCAGACACAGGTCACATGTCCCTAAGTGCTGCCTTGTCTGGGTTAAACATCTCCACTTCTTTCAACCACACTTCACGTGACATTTCCTGACCCCTCCCCAGCTTAGTAACTCTCCCCAAATCAACTTCAGGCCCTCTTTAAGAAGGCTAGGGTGTTGCCACACACCCAATTCATTCTAGGTCCTTGGCGGGGGTCTGGACCGCAAACCAGAGGCTAGGAGCAGTCTGCGGGTTCTCAGAACTTGCACCCAGAACACAGCTGTGCTTTCTGGCCCCCATCCTCAGAAGGCGTCTTCCCGGCAGTCTCAGTGGGTGGTTTACACGGATGTTATTCACAACACCGTGTCCACGAGCCGCGGATGCGCACGACCCTGGTGCCAAACAGTTGTATTACTCTCACACCGAAGATAAACAAACTCCGTGCTCTTACGCAACCTCCCCGGTCCAAGACGCCCCAGCGCAACAACAGAAACTCCTTGTAACTGTTTTCCTCTTCGCCGGCTCGCACGCCCATCCTGGCCCCACCCAACTCGGGGACGCGGCACCTGCCTGACTCATTTTAAATAGTGTTTACAAAGCACAGTCGCTCCCAAGGGTTCCCAGAAAATACCCCCCGGCTAGGAAAACACCTGACCGCAGGAGGCGGGCGCGAAGGCCAGACCCGCTCCAGGTCCACGCCGTGCTCACGGAGCCGGCAGGCGGCGCGGTGCACGCCGGGCAGGGAGCGGCAGCACGTGAACACGGCGTGCGGCGCGACCGCGACGGGGTGGGGCGCGCCATGACTGGCTCGTGCACCGCGCGCCGCAGCCAATCCGCGCGGATTAACCTTTCCAGGCCCCGCCCCTTCCTGCCGCCGGCGGCACCGCCGCCGCGAGTCCTCGGCTGACCTCGGAAGGGTTGCTTTGCAGTGCAGCAGAGTGAGGCCCCCTGACTTCATCGCGGGAGACTTTGGTGGGGGCGCCTCAGGATCCCCATAGCATGGGGGAGGTTCCCTGAACAGGTGGCGTCCTGACCTCCCGCGGGAGCGTCCCGCGCTCTCCCCATCTCTTGGTCCTTGGTCGGCTCCTTTACTTCTTTATCTCCCTCCCAGCGATGCCCGACTCCCAGCAGGAGTATAGGTAGGCCCTAAGGGTTGACATTCAATCTGTGAAGGCTTCTCTTTTTTATTTTGCCTTGAAGTATCCTTTTTGTTATCAAAGTTATATACGCCTATTATGCCATAATTGAAAGAGCATAAAATATTGCTAGTAATACTTCCAGACTCTCCTGTCTGCATATTTTATAAAGTCCCAGGAAGAACGCACTGAATGTGTGATCTCTCTCTACGCAGTGCCATCCTTCATTGGGGTGGGGGTCAGCTATTATCCTGAGGAATGTTATTTTTCTAATGAATACAGCCAGCAGCAAAGGAGATCCAAGATGAAAACAATATTCCGAGGGAAAACATAAAAAAAAAATGGAAATACAGTTATGAAATGGGGGAAAGGAGAGAACTAGAATAAGAGATCAGTATGAATTTAACACTATTTTACTTTGTCAAGATTTATTTATCTGTTCTAATAAGTGAATTTATGTTTTTTAAAAATATGTTTTCTACCTCTGCAAAGATATTCCAGAAACAAGAAAGCCCAGATCCTGGCTTCTAAGTTTCATTTTCCACTAAAAGCAAGCAGATTCTTTGAGGAGTGGCTGATCCCACGGCTGAGACTGGGAAGTGCAAGTCAAGCCTGCAACATCTGATTGCACCAGGAATTAAAGAGCTTAATGCCAGGCATGGTGGGCATGCCTTGTAATCCTAGAGACTCTGGAGGCTGAGTCAGGAGGATCACAAGTTCTAGGTCAGCTCTGTTAACTTAGTAAGACCCTTTCTCAAAACAAAAATTAAAAAGGGCTGGAGATATAGCTCAGTCATAGAGCACCCTAGTATTCCATCCCAAGTACCGCAAAAAAATAAATAAATAAATAAAGGGGATCTCAAAAAATGATGAGGATGTTCCCAAAGAGCACGACAGCCAGCTCGAAGAAGCTCCCTGCCAAATTTGGAACAATTTGAGCATCAAAAGGAATAATGTCCCAAATAAATTGTAACACATGGAACAATAATTTTTAAAATCCTTGAGTCCATGCTGATAATATAACTACTATTATAAATAACAAAATTAACATGTCAAAATGTTGATGGGGAGGAAAGCTCTTCTTTACATTAGAATGCCAACTACTGGCATTAAAATATTTTCCATCTCCTTAAAGGCATGTCTCCTGGATTGGGTGGCTTTTCCTTTTTTAAAATGCTGGTGCAAGCCAAGTGCAGTGGCACATGCGTGTAATCCCATGTATTCAGGAGAATGAGGCAAGAGGATTGATCACAAGTTTGAGGCAGCCTGGACAATTCAGCAAGACCCTGTCTCAAAATAAAAAATTAAAGAGGGGCTGGGATTGTGGCTCAGCAGTAGAGTGCTCATTACTATGTATGAGGCCCTGGGTTCAAGTCTCAGCACCACATAAAAATAAATAAATAAATAAAATAAAGATATTGTGTACAACTACAACTAAAAAATAAATATTAAAAATATTAAATATTAAAAAAAATTTAAAAGGGGGGAGAGGGGCTGGGGATGTAGCTCAGTTGCAGAGCGCCCGTGGGTTCAATTTGCCAGTACTGCAAAAAATAATAAAGGCCATGGTGGTGCACACCTGTAATCCCAGCTACTTGGGAGGGTGAGGCAAGAGGATGGCATGTTTGAGGCTAGCCTCCAAAATTTAGTGAGACCCTATTTCAAAAATAAAAAAAGGGCTGAGGGTATAGTTGAATGGTAGAGCATCCTTGAGTTAAATTCCTAGTACTACAAAATAAATATAAACAAATGTCCCTTGTGTTAACATACCAAGAATTATTTATCCTCCTGTCAAGGTGTTTTTTATTATTTTATTATGAACATCACATCTAACATCTGCTTCTCTCAGTAACACACCTACACCTACAAATGGTATTGCTGATTTTAGGATATGTGAATTTCAATTTTATAAGATAATACCAAACTATCTCCAAGGTACTCAACTTCCACTCCCACTAACAATTTATAAGGGACCTTTTTAACCCACATTTTCTCCAGCATGTGAAATTATCTCACCTTTTCATTTCTGCCAGCCAAATAGGGGACAAATGTGTCTCTCATTGTAGTCTTGATCTTCATCTTCCTATCACTAAAGAGGTTAAATTTCCTTATTATTTATTAAACTCAAATGTTATGACATTCAAATTTTTTACTTTTCACTGCCTAGTTTTCAAAAGGCATTAACAGTCACTCATTAGTTGTTATAAAAACAGAGAAAGTACACAGCCTCGTAGAGAAAAAGGACTGTCTCATTGCTAAGTAGAGTTGGCTCTTCTGTAACATGGATTAGGATTTACTGTTACGTGTATGCTACTTATTGGTGTTCATTCCAAAATGGATTTTTTAAAATTTATACAGTTAAGACATCTATTTCCTGTAAAGCAGTAGTGACAGTATAACCTTTTCACTTCATTCAAATGCTTTCCATGAAAAAGCTTTTATATATAATCCAGGATTTAAACAAAACATGATTTCAGCTTGAAGTAAATTCCCTTTATCATTCTCCATTTATATCTAGGCCACAGGAAATGATGTGACAATAGCAGATTTGATGTCTGAGAGAGTGCATGCTGACTCATTTTTATTATAAAGGGATGACATTCGAGTCTAAATTTTTCACAAAGAAAACAGATTGAGATTACTTTGCTGTTGTTATGAAGCAATAAGTTGATGATAAAAATTCTTGTTTTGATTTTTCTAATAAATCCCGTCTAGCAAAATTGATTAGGAAAATATCTTCCATAATTTCAGGTTGGTAGTCCACAGCCATAAAATTAACTTGGGTTTTTTTCTTTTTTATTTTTCAATCATCAATGAGGTTTTTATTTTATTTTTTTTATTGGTTGTTCAAAACATTACAAAGCTCTTGACATATCATATTTCATACATTTGATTCAAGTGGGTTATGAACTCCCATTTTTACCCCGTACACAGATTGCATAATCACATCGGTTACACATCCACGTTTTTACATATTGCCATACTAGTGACTGTTGTATTCTGCTACCTTTCCTATCCTCTACTATCCCCCCTCCCCTCCCCTCCCATCTTCTCTCTCTACCCCATCTACTGTAATTCATTTCTCTCCCTTGTTTTTATTTTTCCCTTTCCCCTTACATCCTCTTATATGTAATTTTGTATAACAATGAGGGATGAATGAGGTTTTTAACTGATTCTCTTAAGACAGGACATCTGGCTGTCACCAAGTCTGTGGCACAGGGTTAGCTGGATGTCAAAGTGATCAACTGCCCTGGTTTGCCTGAGAAAAAAAGGGTCTCTAGAACTTATGACTTTTGGTGCTAAAATATGGTGAGTCCTGGAAACCAGAATAAACTGGTCACTCAGTTTGGAGGCTTAGTCAGCTCCAGGCTGGGCTGAGTTGACTCAGGAAGCCTTCCTGAGGGGGGTTTTACCCTTTACCTCAATGTAGCCCTTCACAGTTTATAGAAATGGAGGAAAGAACAGAAATTTAATTGTCAGTACACAGAAATATGGGAATCTGGGAAACCTAGTAAATGCTTTCCTCCCACATTGGATGATATCGTACTCAGTGCCTATAAATAAACTACACAGGAACTTTCCTAGGTTCTTATGTGTAGCAGTGATCATCAGCCCTGAATTTGAAAACTAGTTTCTTCTCTCTCTCTCTCTCTCTCTCTCTCTCTCTCTCTCTCTCTCTCTCTCTCTCTCTCCCCCTCCCTCCCTCCCTCCCCACCCACCTTTTTTCCACCACTTGAGGCACCACTGTACACTGCTAGGACCCAGCCTAGGGGACACTTTCTACTTAAAATGAAGTCTGTCTGGTAATTGTCCCACAGCATAGTGGATCTTTCTGGAAGACTGTTTGCTGAGTCCAGTACTTTTGAACTATGCACTGACCCTGAACTGGTGCTCAGGGAAATCACAGTGACCTCATACAGGCTCTTCAAGGCATCCACCAAAGATGGATGGAGGAAGTGGCTGCTGCCCTTATAGCCAAGGGGTCTCTCTGCTCTGCAGTATGCCACCTCAATTCTTGTGCAGCTGTTTAGAAAGAAACTAGTGTTCTCAGCATCTTTAAAATTCATATTGATGCACTCCCTCTCATCCCACATCTAATTCTTCCCATAGATACTGTCATCTCTGATCAAAGCCACCATCACTGTTCATCTGCATGATGCCTAGCGACTCCCTGCTTCACTGCCATCACCCTACAATCTGTGCTCAGGAGAATAACCATGAACGTAATGTTTTACAGCATCAAGTTAGTTCATGTTATATCTCCACTACAGCCCTCCAAGGGCTTTGCACTGCCCTCTGGGTAAGAAGCAAAGGCCTTACCATAGCAGATGAGGACCTAAATGACCTGCCCACTACCTCCCTGAGCCCTCATCCACCCAGCTCCCACACACACTGTGCTGCTGCTGCACAGATACCTCCAGTGCTCAGTCTGCCTGCTTCAGCCACAGGCCTTTGCCTCACGCTTCCCTACTGGGACACTGTCCACTTTCTCCCTTCAGTCTCTGCCTATTTGCCACCTGGCAGCGATCATCCTACTCACAATAGCAGCCCTCCCACCCCCATGCTCCTTCTCCCTCTCCCACCTCCTTGCTGCTATTTCTTTTCCAGCACTTGGACACACTGCATTTACTTGCTTGTCTGTTTACTATTGGTCATCCAGGGAGTTTATCTGTTTTATTCACTTCTATGTCCTCAACACTTACACCCAGGCCTGGATTACTTGCCATTAGTAGGTGTATTAGTCAACTTTCTGTTGCTGTGAAAAATACTCAGCTTATAAAGAGGAAAGGTTAGCTAGGCCTGGTGGTGCATGCCAATAATCCCAGCAACTTGGGAGGTTGAGGCAGTTGCCAGCCTGGGCAGTTAGCAAGACCCTGTCTCAAAATAAAGGGCTTTGGACACAGCTCATTGGTAAAGCATCTGCCTACCCTGCATGAGGCCCTGGGATTAATTTCTAGCACTGCAAAAAATAAAAAGGGCTGGGGGTGTGGCTCGGTGATAGAGATCCTACAGGTTCAATCCCCTGTAACACCAAAAAAAAAGGGGGAGGGTTTATTTTTGACTGATGGTTTCAGAGATTTCAGCCCATTGTCAGTTGGCTTTGTGGCTCTTGGACTGTGGCAGCATAATACATCATGGTGGAACATGTAGGGGAAGGAACTGTTCACTTCATGGCAGCCAGGAAGCAAAGATAAGAAGAGGAAGGGGCTGGGGTCCCGATACCCCTTCAAGGGCACACCAGTGACTTAACTCACTCCGAGGCCCCACTACCTCTCAATAATACCACGAGCTGGGGACTAAACCTTCAAAATATGGGACTTTGGGAAACACCCAATTCATAGCAGTATTTGCCAAGTGATTGCAGAACTTAGGGAAGTGATTTCAGTCTCATCACTAACTAGGGTAGGCACTAGCAGGAAAGAGAAGCAGAGTGGCTTCCTGTTGTGTTTCTTACTTTTTCTACCAAATTTTCTCAGCTACTTATCTATAACCTTCCTTTTCTTAGTGTGTTCACAAGATTCTTTTTTGTAAATATCCTAAGGAAATTTGGCCCTTGCAAACAGCTGATTATTATGGTACCTACTCCCACTTTACCCAGATCCAGGGCTCCCTCCCGTGACAGCCTGGTTCAGAAAGCTTCCAGGAAGGCATCTGGGTTGCTTTCACAGTCTAGCTATTGTGAATTGTGCTGCTATGAACATTGATGTAGCTGTCTCCCTGTAGTATGCTCTTTTTAGGTCTTTTGGGTATAGTCTGAGAAGGGGAATAGCTGGGTCAAATGGTGGTTCCATTCCCAGCTTTCCAAGGAATCTCCATACTGCCCTCCAAATTGGCTGCACCAATTTGCAGTCCCACCGGCAATGTACAAGTGTACCTTTTTCCCCACATCCTCACCAGCACTTGTTATTGTTTGACTTCATAATGGCTGCCATTCTTACTGGAGTGAGATGGTATCTTAGAGTGGTTTTAATTTGCATTTCTCTGATTGCTAGAGATGGTGAGCATTTTTTTTGTGTACTTGTTGATTGATTATATATCCTCCTCTGTGAAGTGTCTGTTTAGATCTTTGGCCCATTTGTTGATTGGGTTATTTGTTTTTTGTTGTTGTTGTTTAATTTTTGAGTTCTTTGTATACTGTGGAGATTAGCACTCTATCTGAAGTGTGAGGGGTAAAAATTTGTTCCCAGGATGTAGGCTCCCTATTTACCTCACTTATTATTTCTCTTGCTGAGAAAAAAACTTTTTAGCTTGAATATGTCCCATTTGTTGATTCTTGATTTTAACTCTTGTGCTATAGGTGTCCTATTAAGGAATTTGGAGCCCGACCCCACGAGATGGAGATTAGGGCCAACTTTTTCTTCTGTTAGATGCAGAGTCTCTGGTTTGATTCCTAGCTCCTAGCTTCAACAGATGAATGGATTTTAAAAATGTGGCATTTATACACAATGGAATATTACTCAGCACTAAAAAATAACAAAATCATGGCATTTGCAGGGAAATGGATGGCACTAGAACAGATTATGCTAAGCGAAGTTAGCCAATCCCTAAAAAGCAAATGCAGAATGTCTTCTCTGATGTAAGGGAGGTGACTCAAAACAGAGTAGGAAGGAAGAGCATGAGAAGAAGATTACCACGAAACAAGGAAAAGAGGTGGGACGGAAAGGGAGGGAGAAGGGGAATTGCATGGAAGATGGAAGGAGACCCTCATGGATTCACAAAATACATATACGATGGTGTGAGGGGGAAGGAAGAAAAAAGAGAGAGAGAGAGATAAATGTCACAGTAGAATGGATAGAGAATAGTGATGGGAGGGGAGGGGAGGGGGGATAGGGAGGGCAGCAGAATACAACTGACACTAGTATTGCTGTATGTATATACATGGATGTATAACCAATGTGATCCTGCAATTTGTACATGTGGAAAAATGAGAATTCATACCCTATTTGAATCAAATGTATGATGTCAAAATCATTGTATTGTCTTGAGCAACTAATAAAAACAAAAAAAGCTTCCAGGAGGGTCAGATGCCTCCACAGCAGTGCTGGCCAGCAAAGCTCTCTGGCAGGGCTTCTATCTCCCTTGGACCTTCCAGAACTTGCCACAGACCTAAATCACACAGAGCCCTAGGTGCAGGGGAGCCCGAGGAGGGAGGTTATAGCTCCCAGCCTCTGCAGAATTAGCACACACAGAAGAGTAGCTTCAGATGGTGGGTTATAGTCCATTAGCATTCTTGAAGTCAATTTATTGGAATAGAAGCAGCCTCTTTTTCAATGAAATTAAATAAACTAGAAAATGTCAGAGTGTATTATATAGTCTAAGTATTATTTCATGAAACTTTTTTGTCCAAGCATCAATCCAACTATTAATCAGAATTTCTGGGGCACTGAACTCCCTTAAAAGCTTTCCAGTTGATTACAATGTACAGACAGAACAAGAGCCTCAGGAGTCTGGCACCCATGGATCTAAGCCAGCATCTGGCCACATTGTCAGTCACAGGGCAAACCTTTCTCTAAACTCTGTCATCTCGTGCCCAGGCCAGATCTTCTTTTTCTCTTCCTGTTTCAAAGTCCATACTTCCTTTGAGGTACCTACTCAACTTCCTGTTTACCACCCCCTGACTGATTAGACTTTTTCTCTACCCCTTTAACTGGACAAGCCTCTAGGATGGCTTGTGTATCATCAAGGGGAGAGCTTCCAGGATCCCATCACCAGGGTCAACATCTTAAGCAGACAGTCAAAGCACCAAACCAGTATCTTGGGAGAGAGCAGAATTCATACCAGCAGAGCCAGTAATCAGGTTAAAGCCGGTACTCTCACCTTGTACACAGTCTGAGGCAGAAGAATTGCAAGTTCAAGGCCAGCCTGGGCAACTTAGTGATACCCTCTTTCAAAATAAATCATAGGGCTGGGGAGTAGCTCAGTGGTAGAGCACCCCTAGGTCCAATTCCCAGTACTGCGAGGAAAAAAGAAAAGAAAAAGCACCAGTAGCACCTCAGCCTGCAGGCATGTGAGGGAACAGAGCCAAAACAAGGGTCCTGGTGCCTCTGGAAATCCACTTATTATCCATCTGGCCAAGGACAGGGCTAGAGGGGCTCTCCTTTCTGACAAAGTTAGTTAACCCTCAGGCCAGAGAAGTATTTGCAGAGCAGTCACATCAGAATGCCTTTGGGAGAACATCTGGAGAGGCCGCTCCAGGAGCAGCAGGACAACCCCCTGACCCTTCTGTTCTTCATACATCCCTTGGCTTCCTCCACCAGTTTCTGGACTGGAGCTGGCTGCCATGCTCAGACCCTGCACTCAAGACAGTCAGGAGCCATACACAGGTTTGGGGGAAACAGGAAGAGGGACAGTCAACAGATTGAGGCTGATCCTCCATTGCCCTCCTCAGTGTTGTTCCCCTCCACTGTCTTAATCATCCAGCAGGAAATTTTGGGATTATTCCTCTGCAGGTCATAAAAGATGAGCAATTTTTGTGTTCATCTTCATTTTCTGCATTTTCCAATTTACCTACAAATTAAGCATGTAAAGAAAACACTAAGGCTTCCAACTTTCAAAAGTAATTAAATCTCTTCTTCCAGCCATTTGTAAAAGTGCATAGTCATCCCCTCCTGAAGGAAGGCAAGTGGGACATGCTTCTAGATGACTTTAGACTCTGTGAGTCTATCAAAGGATGCTTTGTTGCTGAGCACAGTGGTGAGGCCTGTAATCCCAGCAACTTGGGAGGCTGAGGCCAGAAGATTAAAAGTTCAAAGTACTAAGCCAGCCTAGGCAACTTAACTAGACTCTGTCTCAAAAAAAAAAAAACCCGGGGATGTAGCTCAATGGTAGAGTGCCCCTGGATTCAATCCCCAGAACTGAAGGCAAAAAAAAGATGCTTTGCAGTGAAGTCATTTGAAGAACCATAGATTTATGTTTGGGATGGCCTGACAAAAAAAAGTCAGTTCCACAAGGCTTAGTAAGAGAGACATGGATAATGTGCTCAGGTCACAGCAAGGACATTGTTATGGTTTAGATATGAGGTATCCCCCAAAAGCTTCCATGTGAGGAGACAATGTGAGAATTTTCAGCAGTGCGATGATTAGTTATGAGGTGAAAACTCATTAGTGGATTAACCTACTGATATGGATTCACTGGGTTGTAACTATAGACAGCCACAGTGTGCCTGGAGGAAGTAGGTTACCAGCGGTATGACTCAGGGGTTTATATTTTGACCCTGGTGAGCAGGACTCTCTCTCTGCTTCCTGGTTGCCATATCCTGAACTGCTTCCCTCTGCCACATCCTTCCGCCATGATGTTCTGCCCAACCTCGAGCCAGAGCTACCAGCAAATCATGGGCTGAATCTGTAAACCGGGAACTGAAATAAACTTTTCCTTCTCTGTGTTGTTTTTGCCAGGTCTTTTGGTTATAGCCATGAAAAGCTGACCAAACAGATGCCCTTTTCATGTAAATTTCAGTGCTCAAGTCAAAGCCAGACAAGAACACGGAATCCAAAGCAGTCATGACCTCTTTTTCTGCCACTTGCCTGAGAACTTAACCTTTCACCTGGAGATGCCAACAGATACCAGGCCAAGGTGCCCAGGACAAAGACTTTGGAGGACAGGTGCAAATGGAATTCCTTTTGTCTCCTGCAGTCTAGCCACGAAGTTGGGAGGATGGACACTTGGTGTATTTAACAAGCATCCAAACAACTAGGGAACATCCAAGTCAGAGTCAGAGCTGAAGGGAATCTTAGCTCACCTCCTTTTTTGATAGATGGGTAAACAGAGGCCAGTGACCTTGGTGGCTTTCTTGAGATCACCCAACTGACACTCGATGCTGATGAACCTGGTTTTCTGGCTCCCAAGCCACTGTTTGCTCCCTGATACCATGGCACCTTTGTATACATTCCTGACACTGCCCCAGTGCTTCAGCCAGCCTCTCATGGCGCATCACAGCTTCCACCGCCTGTGCTGACCTGCCTGAGCAGCTTCCAGGACTGTCCCACAAGGGCAAACGATTAATGCACTTGTAAACTGACTGATCTGCAAACATGACCATGGGCCTGTGGAATGAGTGAGTGGCTTCTACATTTGGTCACCCAGGAGCCCTTCCTTATGCTGGGCAGATGAAATTAAAAACAAACAAACAAACAAACTCTAAGGCTCTTTCATTCCCTCAGAACACAACTCCTGCAGAAGAGCAAACAAGGGCTGGTGTTGAGGAACAGGCATGACCTCACCCCATTGCCTGTGCCCTCTCTTCTTCTTTCCTCCTCCTCCTCCTTTCTTCCCAATACTAGGGATTGAACTGAGGGATGTTGTACCAATGAGCTGTACTCCCAGTCCCTTTTTAATTTTTATTTTGAGACAGGATCTCTCTAAGTTGCTAAGGTTGGCCTTGAACTTGTGATTCTCCTGCCTCAGCTTCCCAAGTAGCTGGCACCACCTCTATGGTCCCCTGCCCTTCTTTTTTTTTTTTTTTTTTTTTTTTTTTTGGGTGGTGCTGGGGATTGACCCCAGGGCCTTGTGCATACGAGGCAAGCACTCTACCAACTGAGCTACATCCCCATCCCCCCCCCCCCCGTTTTTTAGTTATTGATAGACTTTTATTTTATTTATTTACATGTGGTGCTGAGAATCGAACCCAGTGCCTCACTCATGCCAGGCAAGTGCTCTGCTGCTGAACCCCAGCCCCAGCACCCCCTGCCCTTCTTGAGTTGACTTGTAGCTTATCTCCCCTGTGTTTATTTCCAGTTTCGTCTACATACATTCAGATGGGAAAGATGGGTAACACGGTGATAAGCCTTCCAACCCCAAGGGGCATTAACAACAGATACTGAGGCAACACGAAGACCACTAGTGTCTATATGCTGGGTACTAGATCACAGATGAAGAGGCGGCCTTACCCAGGGAATTTCCATTGGCCTAGGAAATTAAGGGAGAGACAGTTCACTGCAGGGGTGAAAGGAATGTAAAGACATCTGCAGTTCCTGGGAATTTCAGACATCTGCAGCTCCTGAGGACTACATGAGCAGCTTGTATTTTTAGCTCTCTACAAGAAACCTACCTGAAGGAGCCCTCCCAAGTCTGAATTAACCAGCATGCTGACCATGCTCATGCTGGTGGCACCAAATAGTGATGTCATTTAGAACTTGACATCTCCTTTTATTGACATTGTCTTTGTTTTAAATTACATTTGGGGACATGACACAGTATTTAGGGCTTCTAAGGATCCTAACTTGGCTCTGCAGCTACCCATTCCAAAAGAAAATGGAGTTGTTGATGGATTAATCAAGATTAACATAGTATAGAGTTTAGGAAGCACTCACTACTACCACCTGGCCCATATGAGGTAGGGACCCCAACTCAAATAGCTTACAAAACTGGATGCAGGAAGCATTTTGAGAACAAATGAATGTTAAATTCTGGTTATGGAATAGGATATACTTGCAAGAGCTGCCATATGCTTAGAGTAAACAGAAAAGGTGTCAGAAAAGATGTGGACTTAGGAAGGGTCTTCAGGAATAGTCGGAAGTATGCACATGTGGGCTGTAGTTGTGTCTCAGTGGTAAAGTGCTTGCCTATCATGCATCGATCCTTACCACCACATACAAATATAAAAAAATATTGTGTCCACCTACAACTAAAAAATAAATATATTTTTAAAAGTGTGCACATGTGTATGTGCATGGATTTGTATGTGCATGTAATACAGCATGAGATATGGTAGGCACTTGGGAAGGTGGGCTGGGTCTGAGGAGGGAAGTAACAGGTGAGCCAGCACACACAGTGGAGGTATTAGACACTGAGGAACCTACCTGAACACTTCACAGTGATGAGGAAATGTTAGGTGGGCACAGCTAAATAATTAAAGTCCTGGAAAGACATTGTCTTCAGGGAATTCGGATGATAAGCAGCAGAAAGGAAACCTAGAGACAGAAGGCCCTGATCTGAAAAGGACCTGGCTAAATTGGGTAGTCAGGTGCCCTCCCAAAACTGATATCATTCCTTGGTACCCTTTCCCAGGGGAGCATGTCAAAGTTGGTGTTACAGAAAGTCTCTGAAATTGCCAAGGAGCCCAGTTCATGGCCAGCAGGTTCCTAGACACCAAGAGAGAATAAAGAGTCCCCAGAACATACCCTACTAAGGAAAAGAGTGGAGGACAGTAGCTGGCACTGCAGAGAGCCCAGGAAAGGGGTGAGACAATCAGCGACTGGCCTGGCTCCCTCCTCAAGGATGTCTTTTCAGGATCTGCTCTTTGTACCAGTGAGGAAACAAAAAAGACAGTCCTACTTTGGGGTCCAAAAATGTTGGCATAGCTTTCATTGAGCTCCTGTTGCAAGCATCTGGCCTTCGAAAATTCCAGAAATGCTACATCCCTGGAGATGACACTGTAACCTTATTGTCCCGCATGCTACCTTGGCAACCATGGAACCTCTGTGGTCAAAGGGTGTATTGCATGCATCCTGTAGCCATGGCCTTGACATTCGGATGGCTCATTCTCCACAATATCCCAACTGGGTTTATGAGTTTAGCACCTATGACAGCAGTGCCTGGGGACCCTCTCATCCTGCCAGGGAAGAAGCAGAACATGGGGCTGTTTCTGTCTGCTTCCATCTGCATGCACTTCCCACTGATCCAGAAGACTGAAGCGTCTGAATGTCTCTCTGCTTGTCCCTAATGTAAAAAGTGACTGTTATTGGCGGACTTCTTGTAAATGATTTCTGCCTGATATCACATGTCATGTCATGTTGTGTTGTGTCATAGCAGTGTGATCCTTGTTGAAAAGGCAAAATAAGAGGTCTAAGCCCCACCTCTTTTTATCACATGATTTTGCTGAGGGACCTCAGCAAGTTACTTAATGTCTCTCTGTCTCCTTTTACCATTCAAATGGAAGCAATAATACTAGGAACTTTTGAGGGTTGCTGGGTGGGTGGGTAAATGGAAACACATAAAGTACTTTGCATTGTTCCCAGCACTCACCTAAGTTTAGTTTTATTTCTTATTATTATTAGAACAATATTAGAACATTCAGCTATTATTCTATGTTTTCCTTCTGACAGTGAGGACATACAAGAAAACTTGGAAAATCATTGTCCAAAGACATTTTTATAGAACTCTAGACCTGAGAAAGACCTCAAGACCCCTGTCCCCAGGCTGAGCCTTACATATCCACTGGATTCATTTTTTAAGGGGCAAAATTCTCACAGAGGACAAAGTGCCTCAGCCTCCCTCACAGCCTCCCAGACTGAATCATGACATTTATGGCTTTCCTTCTAGGTCTAGCTGATATGCTTCCTGCTCCTTTTTGAACTCTCGAATCTCTTTCATATTTCATGTCAGGACATGAACTTCTTGGTATTCAAACCAATTGAATCAACTTCTAGAGACCCACTTCTCCCAGTCAGCTCAGCCAGGGAGGCACCCTTCCCTCCAGCTGCAGCCCAGGTCACCCTGGAGACCAGCCAGTAAGAGAAGTGAGCACTGAACACTGTGTCCTGTCATCTTTCCTCCATAGCTGCTGCTTCAGCCTTAAATGAGCAAGGGCAACATGGCTCAATTCCAGCTGCTGCCATTTATTCTGCTCCAAATATACGGTTTCTACCTAGCATGTACCACAGCAATTTGGTCCATGTTGGAAAAGTAGAATACCAGGTTTAAGTCCCTCTGGCTCAGTTCCAGCCACCAGAACCACAGTCTGCAACAGTCCAGTGAGGTTGACCAGGGCCACATCCCTCTCAATCCAGAGTCCAGTCCCCTTAGCTGGGACCTTTTTTACTCAGAACTTCTGTGTTCTGAATAACTCTTCCTGGCACTTGTCGGGGAACATAAGAGATGAACTCCAAGGTAGGGACCCCATATTTCTGTGTTCATCCAGTGTCTGGCCCATGCTGGCACATAGTAAGTGCTCAGTCTAGAGAGTGGAGGAATGAGAGCTGGGCACAATGGCACATATCTGTAATCCCAGCAGCTTGGGGGGCTGAGGCAGGAGTACTGCAAATTTAGACCAATTTCAGCAACTTAGCAAGACCCTAAGCAATTTAGCAAGACACTGTCTCAAAATTAAAAATATCTTTTAAAAAGGGCTGGTTAATTACTTTATTATAAAGAACCCCTAGGTTTAATCCCCAGTGGGAAAAAAAAGAATGAATGAATGAATAAATAAATGAATGAGATAGGATACACTCATTCAACTTTGCTCTAATGAAATTCAGTAGATTTCATTGGATTTGTTCCAAAGGCAAGGCACAGGACATAATTATTATTTTTTTATTTTTTCCCTGGGACAAGGGATTAAAACATTGAGCTACATCCCCAGTCCTTTTAATTTTTTGAGACAGGGTCTCACTGAGTTGCTCAGGCTGGCCTTCATCTCTGCCTCAGCATCCAGAGTCTCTAGGATTATAGGTATGTGCCACCATGCCTTGCCAGGACCTAAGATCTTTGAGTGATTATCTGTTGTCCCACCAGATCCACTTTCCACTATCCAGCACCATGTCCCAGCAGGCTAACCTGTATGGGCAACACCATCAGGCTCTGGCCCTCTCACTGTCAATGCCATGAGATCAGAGGGGCAGAGGATAAGGTATGGGTGTCAGTTCTCCCAGTCCTACTTTTTGGCCTATAAGCTGCCTGCATTCTCTGAGAAGGCTCCCATCAGGCAGCTGTCCTCAGTAACTGTTCTGCCCCTCAACATTTTAGACCTGTGGCAGAATGCTCTGGGTTCTACAGTAATTCCTGGGGCCTCCCTATACATTCCCCAGTCCTTTGTAATATGCCCTTCATTCAACTCTTCTCAGCTTGCCCGTTACTTGGTGTTTTCTGCCAGGCCCCTGACAAAGCTGATCCCAAGTCTGAGGCTTGTCAAGACACAGAAATGCTGCAAGAGAAGGGATTAGCAGCCATCCCTTCTGGGCTTCTGTCCCACTAAGGAAGCCTTCTCCATCTGGCTGATTTTTGGGAGGAGGGCAGCAAAGTCTTTTCATTTCCTATTTTTTTAAATCACATGTTAAATAGTTAATATATTCAGATGGCTCAAAACTCAAAAAGCATAGAAGAGTATGTACACAGATACCTCCCCATCTTCTGAACAGCACAGAGATAGGGTGTTGTGTTCCCTCTCACAATGGGCTCTGTCCCCTCCAGGCAGCT